CCACTGTGTGTGATTACCATACATTATGGGAACAGCTGCTCAGCAGCTACAATTACATTCCTGAACTGGCATGACTCAAGAGGCATCAGTAGTTACTTCTCTTTTATTTAATTTTTTTTTAAATATCCAGCTTCGGGCCCCAATGGGAAACCAGGAAATCAGCAGCCAACAGTACAATCAAATCCAATGTCTCAGGCAAAAATTTCATATTGTACCAGTCACATCTGTACAGTTGGAGAACATGATACAGTCCTAATATACCTACCTACCTATTTAAAGTATAATTTTCACGATGCAAGGTAACGATGCTTAACTGCTGACTCAGTAGAATGTGCCAACACTTGATTATACCACCAAACAGGAAATGGAAACATGGGAGGAGTGCTAGAATCCCAAGCTGTCCTTCTAGAAGAGCCACCTTTAAGTACTTTATGGGCAATGTACTCCATCTATGGAAGGAAGTATTTTGGCTGTAATCATATATATCGCACCTTCCCCAGAAATCTCAATCAGTATTAACCTATGCCCTGGTAAGGGGCTTTCACTGATCTCTTAGCTGAGGGTAGTTGCACTTAGTAGCAACGCTTGGAGGTGAGAAAATAATTTAAGTACGTGCAAACACGCCCATAGGGCTGTCCCGGGGGTGGGGGTGGGGTGCAGAGCCTGGGGCAGAAGTGACAAATCCGTCACTTACGGGACTGACCTGTCACTTCTGGGACCGCCTGCGCCGGCCAATCGCACCGGGGCCCGGAGCGGTTGCCCCGATTCGCTGTACCCAAGGGACAGTTCTGCGTGCAAAACACCTGTTAACTTCAAGAAACTAAATTCAAAAAACATTTAGCTACTTGGATTAGTGGAGCTAGACTTGTAGCAAAGGAGACGTGTTTAATTCCTGAGGAAAAAGTGCAGCAAGCCATAATCTTAGCTTCACTATCCTAACTCTGACACTACAGTATCATGGATGGTTGGTTGCTCTTGCTTGTTGATTGTAGGTTGGGTGCGGCGATAGTCCAAATCATATGCAACTCAAGTGGGAGAAGAGGGATGCTGGGAGGCTGCCCAAAATAAGGAAGTGAATGAAAGCACAAAGAGCTCCACTTTGACTAGTCCCCATTTTAAAAGTCTAGTAGTCCCATAGATTTTAAATTAGAAGTTCCCAGTGGAGAACTCTGGTAAATTAGTGGCATAATATGGCTCTTACTTATTATTTATGGGGAGGTAAGGACTTTTTAGTTGTGGATGAATGAGAAATTCCTGTCTGTACAAAGAAAAACCCCCACCATATACTGAACAATGAAGCAGCACTTCCATTAGAAACCTTTTTATTAAAAAAAGTTTTAGGGGGTGATAATTGAAAGAAACAAAGCTTGGATGCATTATGCCTTCATCATAATATCAAACAATTTCTTAGAATATTTTTCAGTGGATATTCTGTGATGTGCTCTAATTACATTTGGTAATTAAAGAAAGTTAAAATTGCCAATGTATTGATTCAACATGGGGCTAATTCACTGTTACAGTAACTTTTTGCAAATAATTTCAGAAGGTGTTTTATTACATTTTACAAATGTACAGATATATTACACAATATCTGTAATCCAAAGGAGCCTTTACAATGTGTTGCCATCTTTAAACTGCAGCCAGACTGTGTAGTCAAGGGGAGTTTTCCTGAGTACTGATGAAGAGTCATATGATGCCACTGATTTTGAAGCAGATCTTCCCAATGAAATTAATCATGAGTTCAGTTAAAAACACACAGGGTATATCATGGCCTTGGCAAAGGCCTGTTAGGATGGCATCCCTGATTTTTTAAAGGGACACAGCCAGGCAGGTTAGACCCTCAAATTAGGTTTCTTTAAAATAAAATATGTAAAAGAAAATTAGAAATATTTTCATAAAATTATAAAAAAATTCACTCAACTAGTGCATGAGAATAGAAAGTGCAATTGACCAGAAACTGACCATAAGCAACACCAAACTGACCACTCTATTTGCATTGTGCATGTTGAAAAATATGCAAAAAGTAAAACAAAAATTGCAAAGTGTATTTAATTTTATATGCTTAGTTTTAACAATCTAAACAGTTACTAGTAACTGAAAAAGATATTTTTAAATATAGCTCTGAATCTGACAGTATCCATTTAAATAATATATATATTTTTAAAATGCCTATGTAATCTGTATTTATTTTTCTAAGAGACGAGCAATTTCAAATCAGCCTTTGTAGTCTGTATTTTATGTTAAAAATATTTAACCAAAGGACTAGAATAGTTCTAAAACAGCCATTGTGGTCACTCAGATACAATTTTAAAGGCCTTTCATTTGCAATCAGTTAACAAGGCATCATTGAAAATTTCTGCCACTGCCCCTTGGATTATCCAACAATGGCTGGTCACTTGGGAAAATTTTAAAAATCAGGTGTCAGTAATCATTTTGAAATTTTGTTTGGGGTGGAGAGGTGCTGGAGGAGGAAATAGAAAACTCATTTTTGGGTGATGGAGTGGGATTTAATTAAAAACAGGTCCTACCTTGTAAGATTGATGTTAAGACAGATGTCTATTATCTCTTCAAAGCAGATATTACTTAATGCTTAATTCCCATTGGTGTTACTAGGAGCAAATTTTCCTCTTTCCCCAAATCAATGGCAAGATAGATAAATATGAGCAACAGTTCTAAAAACTACCGTAATTCAATACAAACAAATTTAAACCTTTAAACATTATTCAAACTGCTTTGTATTACAGTATGGACATATCAAATTATAAAGATTAGTCAAACACAGTTAATATAGATTTACCATTTATGCGTAAATTCTCTCAATCCAGAACACTGTCTCTGCAAACATCTCAATGACTATCTTCAAACAACACTGTAGAGATTCATTAATACTGCAGAGATGTCATGGCATCTGCAATTAAACACTGCAGAGATTACTTTAGCAACCACATGATACCAGTCTTAACACTGAAGCCATTTTGGACTTCTAGAAGCACTGAAAAAGCATAGCAAACCACAACATTTTTTAAATTTCTGTAATCTAAAAACAAACCAACCACCAGTTCAATGTTCTCTGCCAGTTTTCATCATGCCAGACACTTTCTTTTAGATGCTTTGCCAGAGTGCTACTGTCGGATTTTCAACTTCCTTTGAAGATTATATATTACGTACAGTAGAACCTCAGAGTTACGAATACCAGAACTACAAAGTAACAGTCAGCCACACATCTCATTTGGAACCGGAAGTACACAAGCAGGCAGCAGCAGAGACCAAAAAAAGGCAAATACAGTACAGTGTTAAACATAAACCACTAAAAAAGCAGCATTTTTCTGCTGCATAGTAAAGTTTCAAAGCTGCATTGTCAATGTTCAGTTGTAAACTTTTGAAAGAACCACAACATTTTGTTCAGAGTTATGAACATTTCAGAGTTATGAACAACCTCCATTCCCGAGATGTTCGTAACTCTGAGGTTCTACTGTATATTCACTATATACTGTAAGACCTGGGGTGAACAACTTTACCATGAGGCTTATGTGTTGCATAGGTGGCTCTGAGCACTGAGATGATTTCACCAACTCTATCTCTGAATGATATTAACACCTTTATTTATGGTATGTCCCTGGTCCACAACATGGATAACGAAAACAATTTATTTAACTATGAAAAGTTATTTTTTTTTATTGTGAAAGTGTAACAAAGATTAACTGGGAAAAAGAAATCTCTGCTTCCATTTTGCAGAGTGAAGGTTATGTTACAAAGAAATTTATTTTGGGCTGAGAGATTCCTTTAAGAAATTAATATACAATCTGTTGCTGAGGGTATTTCTTATCATAACAGAAGGCTCTCTCATGAGTTGAGTGGTCGAGAAAACTGCTATAATAAAGTAAAAGGTTCTGACATACATACCTTGAACAAGAGAGTACATATGACATAATAGGCATCTGTGCCTCTGATAGTTGGGATATGTTCATTAATTAGATGCTATTCCAACATATTTGGCAGAGACAATGATTAAGTTCACTAGAGCTGTGCAAATCACATCCCACCTTCCCATTAGGAAAAGCCGTGCTTCAGGGCACCCAAGGTTGTGATTTACCCCAGAAAAAGACAAGAGACCCCTTTCCCTGGCAGTTCTGCCACGGGAAGAAGTCTACCTGCACCACTTGCTTTCTGTGTAGTGCTGGCTGGCTCAGAGTTCCCTGTCAGAGCAGGGGACGGGGCTGTAGGTGCCTTAAATCTGCTGCTGTGAACCCCAAGTGGGCTTTCCACCATATAAGGATACTGGAGATTATGTTGGCCCAAGTCAGTATCATGCAGTGGCTGAATGGGGCCCATTAATTCATTCTGCTCTGCTAGACTATTCGGTTTCCTCCCCAGAAGGAAAGCTCCTTATCAGCCAAGTAAGATCTTCTAAATGATATATTGCTTTAAGCCAGGGATTTTCAAACTTTCTCCCCATCCACAACCCCCACAGCAGTCATCGTCGCTTGTTATGAGTTCAACCCCCCACAATCCTTGTATTCACACCCTGCAATCTTCTGGAGGAACCCAGGGCTGGCTTTCGTGGGATGGGGTGTTGAATGGGCTCTGGTGCTGATGGGTGACTGCTGCTGCTGGTGGGGTAATGGGTGTGTGGGGCTGTTAATGCTTCTATGGTCCTTCCCTTCCACTCCCTTTTTCAGGGAAGCATTTCTTAAAATACAGCAAGAAGCTAGCTGAGGGCTGTGAGCAGAAGGGGCTGCAGCATCAAGGCAGCCAGCTCCCCATCACCTTCAGATGGCACTTCCTTAGAGTCCAGTGTAGTACAGGCAAGACAGGAGGAGGGAACAGAACTTCTCCCGTCCCCTTAGTTTGCTTCGCCTGGATCTTACTGGTTGCTGGGTTTTCTCTTTTTGCTGAGACCTGCCACCCTTGGTGATCCTGCTGGAAATCTGCAGAGTCCTGGATGCTCACCGACTGATGAAAAGGGCGGAATACAGAACAAAAGTAAGTAGTACATCTCATTTTTTAAATAAAAGATGACAAGTGCATTTATTACTTTTGGTTTGTACAAAAGCATAGCTTAAATGCAGCCTGATATAAACTTTTGTGTCAAATATTTAACTCTTAATTCCAATGAGTTTCTGGATTGATGTTTGTAGATCTGTTCTCCTGCAAGGATCTCTTTTTAGGGAAAAGATACTGTAATATTACAAGAGCCAAATTCTGTGGTTCTTAGCCCATCAAAAGTTTAATTTGGCTCTAAGTGACTGGAGTGTCAGATACTTAATGAATTTGATCACATGAAACATGAGCCATGCTGAAATGACCTGCTCACAAGTAAATTTATCTACTGTGTATCAGTTCTTTGATACAACACATGCATTAGCAAACCCTGGACCATTAACGTGATATCTTAGCAAACACTGATAAACTTGGATGTAAAAATAGAATAATACAGTTTGACTTTTCTTTGCCACTTAGTACAAGCCAGTAGCAGTTTAAGAAAACTTGTGTGATTCCAAGATGTCATTGTTTTAGGGAGGAACCCATTATTTGTAAAGTCAAAAGATATTTTCATTTTATTTTTGACAGTGGGGTTTCCTCAATTATCTGAATACAGGCATTATTTCCTATATCGTTTGGGGAATGCGGGGGGGAGGGGAGAGGGATCTGAGGCAACTTAAATTTACCCAGCACCCCGCTCCTACCACCACAACAGCATCTACTTTCTCATTGTGAGGGTGAAAAAGTAGTCTTTGCTGACAGCAGCTTTATTGCCGTTCCAATGTTCACTTGAGTGGATGGGTGCTCCCATTGTTATGAATACAGAAAATAAGCATGTCACCTCACTGAGACCCCTATTCAACGAGAGTCCCCAGAGTGGGAATCCTGAGGTTACTCCCAAACTTAGTTCTTCCACAAAGCAGGTCTTGAAATGCTTGAGTGCCATCAAAAGGAACACAAAGAGCTGTATTTCTGTTCTTGCCATTCAACATCCAGTTGAAGTTTTCTGGAACTCTGGCACGATGTATATAGTATTTCTTAATGGCTGTACAAATGCACAGATGCAAAACTAATTTAGGATTAAAGATAGTTATGAGGAATGGGTGCAAGTGATGCCTGTGCACTTTGGCAAAATTAAGCATAATTAAATTGGTGGATTCATGCAGTTTTTGATATACCATTGAAAAGGACTCCATTTTAATTAACATTGATAAGAAAACTACTCATCAGTGAAAATGCAATTAGAAAGACATTACGAACAGTTTATAGCTTGGAGGTGTTCACTGATAAGGGAGAGTGGAATCATTACTATTAAAGGTTCATCCTCTTAAGTGTCGCAAATGGTTTCCCCAATAAGCTAGTGTGTTTCACGGTGCTGTACAAATAATAGTTGCTGGGAAAATATGAAACATCTGTATTACACTCAATCCCTTAAAGGTTATTTGATGGATGAAAAATTAACCAAATGCATTTAAAATAAATGCATATTACAATATCACATGTAGTGATTTTTACAAAATTATTACTTATGTGCACAGTCCTGATATCTATAGACATGGCACTGTGAAGAAAGTTCGGTTCTTAAGAAGTTATTTTCTAGATTCTTGTAAGAGTGATGCAGTTTGCGGTCAGTCTGATCATAATGTCCCTTCAACTTTGGTACATTCAGTGCAAAATATTTTTGGGAATTTCTTACTCATATAAAAATAAAAGGCATTTTTTCCTTGAGAGTGCTTAAAGAATAAAACACTAGCACAATGTCTGTTTATGCATGAAAAGTGAAATGAACAGAAATAGCATTTAGTATGCTAGTTTCTTATTTACACTCTGAGGAACTTAACATAATGAACCTATAAAAATAAAGAGAAGTCACTGTGTAAGTTTTTTTCCTGATATGCTGTGGTAAATTGATACTTATTTTTTAAAACAGTTTCCATGCAGTATAAAGCATAAAATCAGTCATTATTAAGTTCTCCTTATAATAGCTCATCATTTGCCATACACGCGCCACTTGCATATACATTTTCACAAACCTCCTTATTGCAAGCCATTGTTGTGACATCCCTTGCTACTGATTTTCCTTCAAATTCAGTTCTGCCCCAGGAAGCTGAAATCTATGATGCACACCATGCAGGGACTCGTAGTCTTAGGTATAGCAAGTATTGGATATTCTGTTATAGTATATGGCATAAAGTAACATATCTTTAGGAAACTTTTTTTTTAAATAAAGAATTCCATAGTTTGATTTTAGCTAATTTAGGGGTGGGCTAAACGATTTCACATTTTGACTTGAACTTTACATTCAAGGACTTTGGTGAAATCCAGTTTCAAGATACTTATCAAATTTTGCAGTAGCCACCTTGCTGATCGTGCATGGTCACATCTTTTGCTTGGGCCATAACAAACATGGCAGTCGAGAAAAACTGTTTATTGCAAGACTGTTAGTTTTCCCTGCACTCCAGGCGCACTCCAGTATTACCGTAGAGTACTCCGTCACTATCACAATGCTTGTAACTGCTTCCGAAGCAAGATTTACTCATTGATGGAAATCTTATTATTTGAATTGCATTGTAAAACAATTTTCCTCTAAGAATCCAATACAAATGTTCATTCATTCTTGAGAGGACAGATCCACAAACGTCCAAAGAGCTGGGCACTGTGGTTTGCGTATCACTCAAGTCCAAAGGTACTTGTCTCTTCAACTGCTGTCAACAGTTTCTCACAGAGCATGGAGAATGATGGGTAAGGGGGAAGGTCAAGACGATTGAAACATGTATGAGCCCTGCAAAAAAAAAAAAAGTGGCAAATAAGCAAAGGTTATTTAGAAATTCAAATGGAAGTAACTGAAAATTCAGGTGTGCTAGAAGGTCCTTTCAAATAACCATGCTTTGTAAAATGATATTGTGTTACTGAAGACTGTTATTTTCAAGTTAAAAAAGAATTGTCAAGGATACTTTGATACCGTAATGTGGATCACAAGTAGTAGCCTAAATTTTCCCTGTAAAATGTGCACACACAAAATGTGTAATTTAGGGGCACAATTGAGGCAGTCTGTTTTGAAAACTTGGCTTAAAATACATACTTTTAAAATTAGTATTTTCTATTAAAAATAGTGATATTTGAATGCTAGGTCTGTAATCATGAGCAGGTTATTTCTGAAGAATGAATGCACATAAATTAGATAAAGTTAGTGAAATACTAGAAAATACGTGTAGGGAACAGTCCTACTGATAGGAGATAGACTAGTTAGCAAATTAGGTCTTTTCCATTGATAATTTCTCTGGGCCAGAGCCTCAGCTGGTGTAAATCAGTGTAGCTTCCTTGAAGTCAGTTCAGGTATGTTGATTTACACCAACCGAGGATCTGATCTTGGCAATCTATTACAGAGAAATATATTTAGTAGTTAAATGAATGTATGTATATAATTCTCAAACGCACTCTAGCTTTCTTGACAGGACAGGGATATATTTCTCCCCTCGATTTCTATAATCTGCCTATCACAATCTCTATGCACATTGTGAAAAGGTCCTAGAGACCCCCATCTTCTGACTAGAGGAAGGACCAGAGTTGCCTGAGTTTGATATAGAGATTTATTGAGTAGCAGGGTAATTCCATCCTGCTCCCACTGAAATAAATGGCACAGCTCCAAGTGACTAATGCAAGTAGAATCTTTTGGGAGAGGGGCTCTGAGATGAAAGTGCCAAGGATTTTTCATTTCCTCTTCTTCTTTGAAAGCTGACTAACCCTTTAGACCTTTGCTTTGGAAGATAAAAGTCCTTCTGTCTTTGGGTTTGGCCCTTAAAGGGGCAGGACTTTCTTTACATTTACTTTTTCCTTTTGCAATCACACCACACTGTTGTTTAAACCTGTTCCCGTTGGCAAGTAGAAACCTTTTCTGCAGTGGCCTGCCTGTCAGCGCTTGAGCAGCAAACATTTAAAAAACATGCAGCATAATAAATTTAAGTGTATAATGTCAGGAACTCTCCCCCCACCAATTACTGAGACTCCCTATTCAACATACCCCATTCAGCTGTATTCAGAATGGCTACACTGGATTTACAGTGAGCCCTCTCAAAACAAGAAGGTGCCCACCCGCAGATGAACAAATCTAGGGACCATCATCTTAAGTGCCAATCAGATCCTAACTACCAGGTTGGAACATGAAGAGAAGAGGTGAGTCACTCTAGCTTGTTTATAAACACAGAAGCTAAGAGTTCATTACAATTCCTCAGCGAAGGTGAAACACTGAATTAGCAAACAGCATTGTAGTGTCATAAAAATACCAGGCTTTGGGAAACACAAAGTATGCAGGGCCAGATTATCATTATAAACATCAGACCAAACTTTGGGTGTACTGCTGTGGTAGAAAAAATATTGTATTTTGCTCCATCCAATTATTGTAGACTTAACAGAACTCTGTCAGAATAAGAATATTTTTCAGCAGGTAGAGTTAACACCCCATGGGGCTGCTCGTTTTCCCCCTTCCTCTCTCCCAATCCACTAGAGGGATCAACCCTTGCCTGCCTGGAAAGGGAGCAGATCAGCAGAATCCGTGGACCTCTCTTCTCTTCCCAGAACATTGTGGAAAGCTATCTGTGGGATCCAGGAAGTGTGCTTTGAGGATCTAACTTTCCTGCAGAGTTCCTCCACGCTGGGGACCCTTGCTAAGGTTTTGGGGGGGGGAGAGGAGGGGAGGGGAGGCAAAGACAGTACAAAAGGCTTACAATTAGAGCAGTGCTGTCAGGTAGCTAGATCGTCAGGTAGCTAGATCACCAATTCTCTGGGTTCAATTTAGACCTTGGAAAATCCATGGTGGCCTAACCTCCTGCATCTGGTGGGTGGGTTCAACTGATTCCCTCTCCTTAACCCTCTGGAAGGAGAATTTGTAGGAAACATTATGAAAGAAACTTCATAGAGCTTCTCTTTCCATCAGGCCCACAGGAGGGGAATGTGGACCATTGAAATAATCTTCCTGGCATCCTCTGGCTGCTCACACAACCAGCAGAATGATTTCCTCTTGCTTCTGAAGATTAATGCATTCAGAAAGGGTGTGGAAGGAGAGGAGTTTCTTTGAAACAGACATCCATTTGTTAGAATTATGCATCATGCATACTGTGGGCTAAACAACCACAAATTATAAAAAACACGATGCATGAATCAATAAGGGATTCACTGCAAGCTAACAATCTTGCATCTTGGTTTAACTGATTAGCAGAAAGACAAGTTGGGTTTTCTTTCAGTTTTTGAGGATGATTTCGTCATAGTGTATTCAAAATGTGATCATTTTCTTTAGAGAGCTGATTCATTTTTAAAAATAAAGGTACTGATTCTGTTGAGGAAATGTGCTCATCTTTTACCAAAGGACTCTGTCATTCTGCAAGGAGAGTGATTTTACTGTGAATACTGCTTTCCCAGGACATTTCAAGCTAACTGTATACTATGTTCATCTTTCTGCTCTCACATTTTCTGATAAAGGTAAATGTATCTTAGTTCCTGGAGTCTTGACATTCAATCACTTCCCCCTTCACTGACGTTCAAACAGTATTACAAACAAATTAACTTTTAAGTCCAAAGTCCAGTACCTTAGCAATAACAGAAGAATGCTGTTCGCGTGCAAATGTTTAGATATGCATTATCACTAGCTGCTATATAATTAACACTACCAACTTCTAAACATTTAAGAAACAGAGAGCAAAAGTTCCCCTAGTGATATCTGATTTAGCCTGATGTACAATAAGATAAACAAGCTGGAAGTAAAAGTGGTGACAGGGACAGCAGGGGCAAAACTAAACTAGAAATAACTAACTTTTTCGGTCCATTCACATGCCACTAACAAAGGGCAGTGATAGAAGCCAGGCAACTTGACATGCAAGTTACAGAAGTTTCATTGTTCTGGTTCAATAAGGCTGATTATAACATGATCAGAACTATGGAAGCTATGGAATCATCTCATAAACTCATAGACTTTAAGGTCAAAAGGGACCATTATGATCATCTAGTCTGACCTCCTGCACAACGCAGGCCACAGAATCTCACCCACCCACTCCTGTAACAAACCCCTAACCTATGCCTGAGTTACTGAAGTCCTCAAATCGTGGTTTAAAGACCTCAAGGTGCAGAGAATCCTCCAGCAAGTGACCCCTGCCCCATGCTGCAGAGGAAGGCGAAAAACCTCCAGGGCCTCTGCCAATCTGCCCTGGAGGAAAATTCCTTCCTGACCCCAAATATGGCGATCAGTTAAACCCTGAGCATGTGGGCAAGACTCACCAGCCAGACACCCAGGAAAGAATTCTCTGTAGTAATTCAGATCCCACCCCATCAAACATCCCATCACAGTCCATTGGGCATATTTACCTATGATAATCAAAGATCTATTAATTGCCAAAATTAGGCTATCCCATCATACCATCCCCTCCATAAACTTATCAAGCTTAGTCTTGAAGCCAGATATGTCTTTTGCCCCCACTACTCCCCTTGGAAGGCTGAATCATCTAATCAAGCTGTTATCTGTATTAGCCTTCCTTAGCTCTACAGAGCCTGGAAAAGGGAATGGCTACTTTAAAATATTTTCATTCATTTATTTCTTCTCTCTGGTATGAATAAAAAAACCCCAAAACCTTGACTTGTAATTTGAGAGCCAGATTTTGCCAGTAGTACCAGACTCCACAAGTGGTCCCATTGAAATCGGAGGGACTATTCACAAAATAAAAACACTAATCACCGAGAGTGAGGGTAAAAGAATTTGTCCCTAGGTTAATACAAAACCCTAGAATCATTAGGCATCAAAGAGCTTAAGGGTGAAATTTTCAGTGGGTGTCCAACAATTCATCCACATCTGCAGGATCTCTTTTAGGAGCCTGCTGAAAGTTTGCCACTCAGTGTCTTTGTTAAGATAGGTAGCTTCAGCCAGTGCTACTCAGTGTTTGCACAGTAAAGCCTTTGAAGCTGGTGGAGCTTAGGCTGAAGCCGCTCTGCACACAGGAATTGGAGATGTTAGAAAAGCAAACACATAGTTTACATTCTGCTCAGAGCTAAGTTTGAGATGGACACTGTAAGTCATGTGTTTCCTATGGGATTATGGTACCATGTCTTGAGCACTGGGAGTGGCTGACTCATGACAAATAAACTTGTGTTATTTGGCTCTCGTATTTGTAAAAATATCTTAAAACGGTAGTAAAGTTGTGGCCCAGTGTCTCCAAAGCAAGGGAATTGAAAGTTAAAGATCAAGGGCCATATTCACTGCCATGGGCAATGAGGCAAGCAGCTGGCACCCTCCCTGCACCCACTGGGCTGAACTGGTAAAGGCGCTCAGCACATATCTCCACTCTCTTTCTCTAAAGTGAAGCAGTTTTATTTTACAGCTGGAGCCACGCAGTAGCCCTGCCAGAAGAAACTCCCTCAGTGAGGTGCTGAATCTCCTGGCTTGTCCTGCCCCTTCCCACTGTGTAGACTGTACCCGCTGGCTCTGGTTTCCATGTCAGAATAAGCAGCTTACAGGAGTGTGGCCCTGTTCCAGGTTGGATCCTGCTGCCTAAGAGGTGAATTTGGTCCCAAGTCTCTGTATCTATGCACAATAAATGGGTAAAGCAGATTCATCACTTATATTAGTAGACAGCTAGTTTGAGCCTTCCCTTTGAGTTCCCCTGCTTTGGTGGGTTTTTATGGGTCCAGAACACTATTTTAATGGAACTGTCACAATTTATTTTCTTTCTCCCATTTTTAAATTACTTTAAAGATCATCAATACTATACCCCCCAAAATATTTACTTTTACAGATAATGAGAGGTCCAGCAAAGAATTTAATGAATTAATTTGTCACGTTCCTCCTCACAGTAGCCTGATTATTAATCCTGGAAAATCGGATTTCCAGTTATTTGTGCCTCCCAGACCAGTATCCTGCCACACTAGTCAAATATGTATTTTGTGTCTACTTACATCTAGCTATTAAGGCCCCGATCTTGATGACATATACACATGTTCTTAACTTTATTTCCAGGAGTAGCCCATCAAATCTAATGGGACTCCTCATCATAGTGAAGTTAAGCAGGATTGAGATCTTAGATTGCAAACTTTTTGGGGCAGGAATTGTCTTTTTGATGTGAAATGTGCCCAGTGAATGGTGCCCTAATCCTAACTGGGACCTTTTATTTAATAATAATATTTCAGTACTGCCTAAAGTCTGTCTTAGAGACTGAATATTAGAAGATACAAAAATTACAATAATCTCTTTTCCTATTTAAGTATCGGTATAAAATGGAATGGCACGCTGAAGTCCAGGTTCATTCAAGAAAATGCAACGGTTTATATTTTTAAAATGCAGTAGGAACATAATCTATTTCTCATTTCAGTAACAATCACTCTCTGAGGCATGCCTAGGTGGCTGACACACAGAATACCTTTTGACCCTAAAAGATACTACAGTAATTGTTTTGAAATATAAACTTAGAATTCTCTTAATGTACCTTTGACCTTCAGCTGAGTGGCTCCCATTTATACCCTTAGCTGACAAGGTGGTTTTGCCTTCTTCTGTTGCAAGATTTCTACACAACGCTGAAGTCACGCTGGCCCTCCTAGGGACTGAACTAGACTGTAAATACATTGGGTCTCTTTAATCTAGAGCCGATATCCATTTTCTGGCAATGACCAATAACTGACCTTTCAGAGATCATCATATATGCTATTTTAGGGACACAACGCCTGGTTTTATGACAAACAAAAAACCCATAAATTTTAGAAGAGAAGTTGTAAATCTGGTAAAGTAGAATGAATTGAATTAAGGTACGGACTACTAAGCACAATTAGTTTGTCTTTCCCACAACGCAGGGAAACAACCTCTTCAGTTCAAAGAAATACAGATATGTCATACACACTGGAACAAGTAGGAAGTAGAGCTTCCCTTGCGGCAGAGCATACCCAGTCAATCAGTGGCAGCTGTTTGTTTCTCAAGCAGCTTCTGCATAACCCCAATAGTTAGCAGTAGGGGTAGTTGAGAATATCAACATATCTATTGTGACTGGCTCACACAGAACTGAAGTCTATCCAAGTAGTTCAAAATTTACTTAGATTAAAAAAACAACACCACCCAAAACATACACACACACTTACCTGGGAAGAGCAGTGATTTTCCCCCATTTTTCTACACAGAATCTTCTTGGCCCATTGCTCCCTCTTAGAGATGCAAACCCTTCATAAGGTATGCTGGATGTGCCTGTAACAAACTACCAACACAAAAAGAACAATATGGATGACAGATATACAACCTCAGGGTCCTGTGAATGCTCGTGCATAAGTAACTACTCACAGCAGTGTTCCCACTAAGTCAAGTTGCTCCTGTATAAGAGTTTGCAGGATCAGACCTTATTTGAAGGGGAAGCAGGAGTATTAAAATCCTGTTTAAAATGTAGGGGAAGGAAAGTGGCATATTTCTTGATTAGCACTCTAGGAGGGAGGGCTTACTAGCCTAATTTCTGTTACAGATTTCACTTATAGACAGCTAGTATATAAGAGTAACTATGATGCACAATCAGTGTAGAATTAAAGTCACATTACTAGTATCATCAAGCTAATAAATAAAAAAGTGAGGAGGGAGAAAATAAAACACACTTAATAAGGTTTAAGAGGGACTAACTAATAAGTAAATTACCATATATGATGTTACATTTATGTCGTGCCTTTCATCCAGCTGGATTTCAAAGCACTTTACAAACTTTACTAACTGATATAAGCTAAGAGCCAAGTTCTGCAGTTCTCATTTAGGTAAAATTCCCATAGATTTCAGTGAGAATTTCTTATGACATTGTACAGAGCAGCAGGGCCGGCTCTAGCGTTTTTGCCGCCCCAAGCAACAAAAAAAAAAAAAAACCGTGATCGCGATCAGCGGCAATTCGGCAGCAGGTCCTTCGCTCTGAGAGGGAATGACGGCCCCGCTGCCGAATGGCCGGACGTGCCACCCCCAGGCTGCCCCAGGCACCTGCTTGCTAGGCTGGTGCCTGGAGCCGGCCCGCAGAGCAGATTTGACTAGAACCATTCATTGATAAGGGAGTCTTGTGACAAATAGAGCCTACTTATATTTTTGATGGTCTGTGATACAACACCTATATAAAATATTTTTTGACCTGCAGTTGCAGAATCCCTACACTGTATTATAATTACAAAGGGAAATCTTAGCAATAAAGTTACACAGCCATCTATGGTCCTGCATCAAAAGGGACACCTCAGTAATGTTTCCCACATAGCATTTACACAGAGCCAGCTGTAACAGGAAAAAGGCAGGTTAGTGATACAGTTAACATGATGATCAGATGCCAGTTCTGAAATGTTTAAAACAATGGATTTGAAACCAGTGCAATTATGTGGCAAACACAGATAAAAATCAGATCTGGCCCCTTCTAAAGAATTTGGTGTGCTAGAGGTACCTGTATTTGATTACATGTAACTCTGTGAAAAACCCATATGCATTAAAATTCCTCTACTGCCTTCAGTCTTGTTGAATCCTTCATCAGGTAAATGAATTCCACAGGTGGACATACTGTGTGAAGCAGTGTTTCTATTTATTTGTTCTTAATTTACTAGCTATCAACTTAGTGAAGACCTCTTGTTTTCATGTTATATGAAAGGATAATAATGGGAGACTGGATCAGTTTCATTATCATTTTCATAATTTTGAACACCTCAGCCAAGGCCTCCCTAGCTCTGCCTCTGAATAATCTTCAAAGGTAAATACTATCATGTTTTTTTCCTTTCCTTGGAATACAAATTTTGAGGATTTTTTTTAGTCAAATAATAAAAATCACCACCACCCAATACTCATACTGGTATTGGTAAATTTCTATTGAGTGGAATTATGTTCTTAGTTAGCTCTGACATTTCAATTATTTACAGTAAGCATCTGGAGACTGCTGAGTTACCAGGCCATTCCCCTGTCCTGATATCACACTATCTGAAGGCTTCATTGTCCGAAACTGACGAAGTAGTTTAACATTTAATGTGAAATGGGGGTATATATTTTTATACAAATCTACTGATCTCTCACCTGTAATAGCCTTAGCCGTTGTTCATTGTTGAATCTTTCTACAGCAGCCCAGAACCACCGAATTACAATGTGATTGTCGTGGTAACCTGTTAGATCAACAACAAAAAGCCCCATTACCCATGAATGGCCTTCCCCAGCTCAGTCTTAGTTACAGTCTTAGCCTCCATACTTATAATCAAATATCAGCAAAAGACAGCAAGTGAGATTAACCCAGGGTTCTTATCAGGGTCATTGCACGTTGCTCCAAATTAAAGGCAGACATTCAGTTTCCCTTTTGTAAACACTTAAACCATTAGCAAGTCACTCATCTGAGTTGCCAACTCTTGTGACATTAGGTTTTGGGTTTTTTATGTTTTTTTAAAAAGCTGCTCATGATGCCAGTAGCAATTGCAGCCACCTCACTCAAAACAGCTGTCATCTCATTGTTCTTGGTGGGACTGAAGCAGGACTGCACTCAGATAGGCTCACTACCAATTCCAGATAGCCTTTGGAAATGGAAGTGAAGTGGTCCTTACTAAAGATGGCTGCCTTACCACTCTCTTTATGCAGTCAGGCTGGAGAAAAATCAGAGAACAGTTGAATGTAAGAGCAAGGGAAAGACTGAGCGTAATGGGGATGTGAGAGGGGTTTGGAGTCACATATAACATGAACCTTTACCTGCTGCTGTAAACGAACTCTGAGAACACCTTTATGTCAAAGGTTTGCCTACTTACTTTCAGATGCCATCAACCTCGCTGTAAATTCAAAATATAAACATGCTCTTGCCATTTGGGATCTTACCCCTTTTATCAACTAAAATGACTGCTCCTAATTCAAAAGCTAACCAGGAAAATTAAGACATTCCAAAATTAGTTTAAAATGGGCTCCAACTGTTATTGAATTGACATATTTCATAGAATAGGTTTAGCAAAATCTTAGACAGAGGGCACTTCCAGGTTCATTCATGCGGTACCAGAGCTAACTTTGACTAGGAAAAAAAAAATCAATGTCACCTCCTCTATACTCTGTGTTGTTTCTCCAGTCACTTAAGTCAATTTCTGCCGTGCCAGCAATAACCAGTTCCAATTCTCTTGCATCAAATACAGACACCAGCCTAGCGTCAACAACCTGTGAAAGGAAATAAAATACATAGAAACGTGTCTGATTGTTTCTGTTATTTTTGCCTCCTACTAAACAGACTCCCCAGTTACTAATGCTGTATCATTTTTCAAGTAATGTTCTGGCTTGTTCAATGAATGGGGAGGCTTAAGGTTAAAACTTTTTTCAAAAGATGCAAATATGTGGACTATTCTTCCACTGGGTTTCATACTGTAGCTACATTCGGTTTTATTAGAAGCTCCTCGTATTTAGAAGGAAAATGATTTAGAAAAATAATACAGAAATACTTCCAGGCCAATAAGGGTCAATATATTCAAGGTCCATGTTCAAGGTGGAAAATGTAAAGGAAAACATCTTGAAATATACTCAGCCAATTGTGTAATGCTGGACATGGAGTAAAAAATTCCTTCCTGAGTTCAACTCTCCTTATTATCTGAGTTTGCACTGCTGCTAATGCAAATAGTGGTAATAATGTTTTCCATTTTTTTAGAATGTAGCCATGTTATTTGACTCAATGACCTCCAACAAGTGACCTCCACATATATAAGACGACATTTGATTATTATGAAATACATTAGGTCTACTGTAGGATACATACGACTCTCACTCCTATGTCTTCAAAATACTGTGTGATTGGGTGTATTAGAAATGCAAGTATAGAGAAAGCTAGATAATATACACATGGGAACTAGAGTTGAGTAGGATTTCTTACCTCATAGAAACCTCGAACTAGACTTTCTGTTTGCTGCACAACCCCTCTCTCAATTCTCCATTTCACCATTCTCTCTATGTATTCTTTTTTGTTCTTCTCTGTGACTGGGATGTTGGCACCCCCTGGTTTCAATTCCCGTTCAGTGATCTTAGAGGAAAACCACCACCAAAATAATATAAAAAGACAACAAAAATATATTATAAACTTAAGCTTTTCGTTAAATATGTAGCGCTAATTCCCCAATATCATAGGCCAAGCACAGATTGGTTTAACAGACTGGAGTACATAAACTCAGACAGATGACGTGAAACTGAAATCCCCGTTTTCACCAGATCATGTCAAGTACAAAGTAAGAACAAGCAGCTTCAAAATAAGAGATACAAACCAGCTTCTGCATTCTTTAGGTATTGCATTGGTAGGTAACGAATGATAATCTCTCTATAGGTTTTTCAATTGTTCATATCAACCAAGATTTTTATTAATAAACTCAAAATCAGCTGGGAATGACATCATTTTTCAGTCCAAAGAAACAGTTACCTAACAACAGAATATAAAGAGGAAAGGAAAGGAAAGTAGCAATCTTGCACACCTGCCCAAAAACTTCTTCATTTACAGTGAATGTGAGATCTAGGATATCATGTATATCGTTGTCTTTCATCCACTGCAAACTCTGGTGGAACTCCTCATCAAGGTATTCCAAGTCACTCAGGTCACAGAGTCTAACATAAACAAGAAGAAAATATACAAATATAGCTGACAGCAGTAGTGCATGCTCATTAACAGAGCTGAGACAGGACAGCCCTACAAAACAAACTGAGAATAAAGGGAGCTCAGAGAAATCAACAGAACAAAGAACAGTGGATACTGGATTCCTTTGTGCTGACGTTCCTAAGTCAAGTTAGTAGAAACTATTCTGAATCTCTGTATTTGCCTAGCAATGGTAATAGCAACTATTTGCATAACTCTCATCTCTTTGTTGTTAAACTACAAAACCCTAAATTTCCATTTTAAAGACCTTTTGCTTGTAAATTTCACTTCATTTCAAATTCTGGCCACTTGCACCATATTTCAATGACTTATTTTGACTATGGATTACAAAAAATGTTATTAATTCTTGTAATGCTTAAGTGTAAAGATCAATATGGGACATGTAATTCATCTCATAAAAAATAGAACCTTTTTATTAGTACTAACTAAGCTCTGCAATAAGGAGGATGGTCTTAATTTGTCACCTCCTGCTCTCTCCACTTTGCCAGTGATGCCAGCCTGGGTGATTTTGCCATAAAGCCCTTAAACATGGTGCGTCCTTCCAAATTTGGTTTGTGAGCCAACTGCCCTCTCCTCATTCAAGCATCTCCTTACCACTTGCGTCTTCCATGATCCCCACAAGAAGTCAGTCAACAATCATAATTATTATTATTACGGGATCAGATTCTGTCAGCCTTACTCACTTAAAGCAGAATCTTAACCTGTGAACAGCCTTACATTTAGGATCTCAGAGAATAAGCTGCTACTCCACCAGGGGAATTTATTCTTGTGCCCACTCTAGGGCTGGTGCAGGCACATAGGGAAGATGGCTTGCATCTTCTCTAGCTAGAGGGTACCGGGAGTGGTCTTGGGCTAAGGGTTACCTTAACTTGCATCCTGCAGCAATGGCCCTTAGCAGCTGTGCAGAATGGCTGGGACAACATTCCCCTTGCTGAGCCAGGAATGCCCCGTGCACCAGTGCCTCCTGCAAAGATGTGTGCAGAGTTGGTTCAGACACCTTAACTGTGGAGCTGCAGACCCAGGAGGGAGTGCATGAGCACGGGTATCCATAAAGCTGCTTTGTAGTGTCTTTCTGCTGGCCAGGCCATAAGGGGATCATGAATCAGGCCCTTTGTTTGTGAAGGTGGCAGAATCTGGCCCACAGCTATTTAAAAAACTTCTAACAAGCCACCATGACCAATAGATAACTAAACTAAGTAACCAAATGATATTATTGCTGGAGTCCTTGTCTTTCAACCCCCCCCCCATACAGTTTTATTAGTGTCCCCCCCCACCCGCCCCAGCTCCTCTGTCACATCACCTCTAGCCTAGGACTGTCAGCTCCTTGGGAGTGGGACGAGGCCTTTTAAAAAAAAATTCTGTAAAGCACCTACTACAGTTTTAGTTGCTGTAAAAATAAACTTGTATTATTTGCACAGCACCATAAATGTGAACGGTGCTTTACAGATAAATGTAAATCATCTTCGGAAATTCTCAGATGTGGCTTCTGATTTGTGGTTTCCTTTTTTGGGCCCTAAACTTGACACACATTAGATCTGATTTTCAGAGGTATTGAGCAACTGCAGTTCTTATTGTCTTCAGCTGGGCTCTGGAGATGCAGTACTTCTGAAAATCAGACCCAGTTAGGCACCTCAAAATGGAGACAGCCAAAAATCAGAGACTACTTTTGAAAACACTGATCTTAAAGTCTAAATAAGGTTTGATTCAGATCCTGTCCTATGAGTCATTAAAGACAAATGAACAAGTACTCTATTAATATCTGATGTTTCACTGCAGGATTTGAAGAGAACGATTTTATAGAAGGAACTGGTGATGTAATTGGTTGACAGGAATCACAAGGTTTTGATATTGATCAGCAACATCTTCAAAGTCATCAAGTAACTGGCTAGTACCATAAATGGGCCTTAATTTAGGTAACTATACTTTAAAGTAAATCTTGGATTAAAACTAAATGACCAAATTATATTGACCTATCTTCTTGGAGTCAAGAACCTGACATTTATTGCTGGTCAAAAATTGCATTTTCCATGAGAAAAAGAAAAATCAGAACATTTCTACTCACATTCTGAGGAGGGCTTTATAAAAGGGCCGTGTAAAGAAGGCATCTAACAAATACTGATGTATCAGAGCAAGACCAAGGATTCGACCACTGAACCTGAACCTGAACGACAAAGGAAATGAGTTTAACCAGTACACTCAGACTTTGTGTTTGTGTGCTGTCCTATCATTCATCTCTGTAACAAGTTTAACAGTACATTTAAATCAGATAACTATAACTGTATTGTGGTAGCTTGATTCTTTTTAGTTCTCAGTAGAATGTAGTGAAAAAACAGATCTGCAAGGCATGGAAAGTACCTGGGGTTTCAAAGCTGAAGTTGCCACTTTTCAGCTACTGAAAGCTAAACTGAACTCATTCTAAACCTACCAAACTAGGTTCTTTTTTCAAACCCTTGCTTCCAACATGACAGCTGTCTTCTGCCCCTCCGTCTCCTCACTCTCCCTTTCTGAGCACTGAGAGATTGACTCTGACAGATGATTCTAGGCATCCTTTTCTAGCTAGTGGGTGGCTCCATGCGCTTTTTCATGACTGGTGGATATTGGGCTCCATGTAACCTTTTTTTGGGGGGTGGCTGGAAATTATCACCTTTACCATTCCATTTCCCCCCAAAAGTACCAACATGATTTAAACCCCCTTGTGCACTCATTGCTGCTGGAAGATTAGAAATTAGGAACGTGGCAACTTTGTTTGCAACACTAGGGCCTTCACATAGACTTTGTTAGACACTAAGGGCACAATTCTGCTGTCAGAAATAATGGTGCATGTTGCAGAACATTGTGAAAAAAATCATTAAGGAAACTAGGCATGCCCTCCATATATCTGAAAGCAGATTCAAGCCTAATGCTCTCTCTGAAAGAAAATCAAGTTTCTAGACTTCCTGGTAAGATATATAACTCAGAACTACTTTACTTGGGAAAATTAAGGCTTTGTTATGCCTGGCCCTATGCAGGGTTGGCAAGACGGGAAAGAGACACACAAAGCTTCCTCCCTCTGTGCACAGCTGCATTCCTTGAACTCTCCCTGATGCTGACACTGGCACTCGTCTCTCCAGAAACAAATGGTCGTGCCCCACTCACTCACTGGCCGGCTCTCTAGGTCCACATAGCTGAGGATAGGGAGAAGAGGGCCATACATAGCCCTGCAGCTTGTTCTGCCAGACTGCCATGCTTTTTCAGATGCAGCATATACAGTTTGTTGTTGCTGAACTTCTGTATCCAATCTTTTATCAGAGTCCAACAGGTGCATTGCTTCAGCTGATGTGCAGGGCAGCCAGCAAATGGCGTAACTCTCAACTATACTTCATTGCAATGATTCGCCATCATTTGAGACCCTAATTTGCTTCTGTCCTACACAGACTTGCAGCTGTCACCTCATTACTGTAATTTAAACCCAGAGTCTCAGCTAGTGTAAATGGCATGGCTCCACTGATTTCGCTGGAGATGCACTGATTTATACCATCTTAGAATTTGGCCCTTAATCATGAAATTGAGATTACATGTATATATATAAAAAAAGATCAATATATATATCTATAAAATGTAACATCATTTCAGGTTTTTTCCTCTGTTGTATTTCAGATTCCTCATAGTACATCCTTTTCACAGATTTTAAAGGCTACTATCAGGTATATGGACCTTGATTAAATAGCTAAAAACAAGAAGAGCTATCTCAATAGATTTTCCTCCACCAGATGTGGACTGCCTTACTGGGAACCATCTATATTCACTGAGAAATCCCAAACAAACAACATGCAATAAAAGCTGATTGAAATCTCTCGTACACTGAGTTGACTACAAGCCAATGTTTAATATAATCTGTTTTTCATGCACAAAAGACTGACAGTGCTTTGGTGAAGCAAATGTTTGCTCTTGTACAAAGTGTGGAGTTTCATGTAGTGAGCCAAAACCACAATACATATGTTCCAAATCTCATCTTTGCTGACTTTGTGAGAAACAAGAATATCTGTTACAACCAACAAGGGGGGAAAAAAGAGAGGAAAGTCTAAAGAAATGCAATTATTTTACTACTGGTTAAAAAGATCAAAAACTCTGCATTTGAACAAATATGAGCTGGTTCTCCACAAGTGGAAACAATAGAAAAAACAAGATTAGAAATTAATTCTTACCACTCATGGTGATTGTCTACAAAAGCAGACATGGGACTTATTTGTACTGTGTAGGTATCATTGGCTGAATATTCAAATAAACCATAATATGGATTGAAGAGTTCTCTGGACACCAGGAAAAAAAACTCTCTTGAAGGCCCACTGTAATCCAACCTTTAAAAAAAATGCAAGTTAATTTATTACAGAAGGTTTATTTGATACAACAAGGCTTGTCATAAGAACATAAGAATGGTCATATTGGGTCAGGTCATCTAGCTCACTATCCTGTCTTCTGACGGTGGCAAATGCCAGATACTTCAGAGGGAATTAACAGAATAGAGGCTCAGAGCATGGAGTTGTATCCCTGACTATCTTGGCTAATAGCCATTGATGGACTTTGTAGCAGGGCAGTTGCCCCTTCTGAAAAATAGGGTAGGCTGATTGGGGAAGCAGCCACAGCTGGGGCCACGCCCCAATCAGGCCACAGCTGGCCCTATAAAAGGGCTGTGAGCCAGAAAATGAGTCAGTCTCTCTCTTGCTCTGGAGAGAAAAGGACCTGGCTGCCTGGGAGCTCAGGGTACAGGGAATGGAGTAGGGCTGGGGAAAGGCAAGGAGAGCTGGGGAGCTCTAGCCTGGTAAATTCCCAGGCTGCAGGCCTTGCTAAAAGACCAAAACAGGTACTGGGGTTGCAGAGGCTGTAGCCCGGGGTTAGGCAGAAACAGTTGGTCCGACCCCCCCCCTTGCCAATGATGAGTGGCCTTTTACAGCCTGCCGTTTGCCCCAGTGAGCAGGGGCTAGATGATGATGATTAGCAGTAGCCACTGAGGCAAGGTGGGGATAGAGGGTTGGGGGTTCCCCTGGGAGGGGAGACCCAGAATGTGGGTGTCATAACTATAAAGGGAAGGGTAACAGCTGTCCTGTGTACAGTACTATT